TTATGGGACAATCCTACCAAAGGATTTTCATAAGCCAAAAAACCCAATGTTTTCTGTAGTAACTTTTAAGAACAGTCTGACGAAAAACCCTTCATTATCAGTAGGTACATTTGGCGATCTCCATTACCTCATCACAACACTATCCTTGAAATAATAGCAAACTTGAATCTTGTCAGTTTCTTCTGAAGAGAGTGCCCTTTTGCCAAGAACTGTGAATTCTTGGTCTTCTCCCTGAAACTTAACCAACTGCTTCCTGTCCAGGACTGGTTCCTCAAAAGCCAAATCATCCGAATATTTAGTCAATTTAGAGTTCCCTAAAGGGTTTAGACAGGTCAAGAAATTGATTCATGAAAGTGAATCATTCTCACAAGAACCTGTTTAGATCCAGGTTAGAACTGGTTTTCAGCAACCAATACTTGTCGTAAGAGGAAACTAACAGGATCAGGTGGTCAAGTTTGCTGACTTGGTTGACACACATACCATATATTACTGTTGATAAGCCGAACCCCTAACTTGACCCTTACAATCAGTATCAAAATGGTATGTTCCGTAGATAAGCCGAACAATCAACCTTCGCTCATCTTTTCGTTGTGGTCAGTCATCAAAATAGAGTGTCAACAAATCCATATTGAATTATGCAAGTTAGTACCGTGGTTACACTATCTTGTAATAAAATATGTTCTTTGCATATCTGGACTTGAAATCTAGCTTGTTAATTTAACTCAAAATGTCCAAAAAGAATAATAATAACTGCAGTGATCTGACAACAATTGAGGTTCCATGAGAGAGATGATTTCTTCTCTTCAATCAAAGCCAAAACGTCAATCTTCTCTTCAATCAAGGCCAAACGTGAGTTTCTCTTCAATCAAGGCTAAAAAACATCAGTCTTCTCTTCAATCAAGGCCAAAACCGTCAGTCTTCTCTTCAATCAAGGTCAAAACGTCAGTTTCTCTTCAATCAAGGCCAAAACGTCAGTCTTCTCTTCAGTCAAGGCCAAAACGTCAATCTTCTCTACAATCAAGGCCAAAACGTCAGTTTCTCTTCAATCATGACCTAAACATCAGTCTTCTCTTCAATCCAGGCCAAAACCGTCAGTCTTTTCTTCAATCAAGGTCAAAACGTCAGTCTTCTCTTCAGTCAAGGCTAAAACGTCAGTTTCTCTTCAGTCAAGGCCAAAACGTCAGTTTCTCTTCAATCATGACCTAAACATCAGTCTTTTCTTCAATCAAGGCCAAAACGTCAATCTTCTCTTCAATCAAGGCCAAAACGTCAGTTTCTCTTCAATCAAAGCCAAAACGTCTGTCTTCTCTCCAATCAAGGTCAAAACATCAATTTCTCTTCAATCAAAGCCAAAACGTCAGTCTTCTCTTCAGTCAAGGCTAAAACGTCAGTTTCTCTTCAATCATGACCTAAACATCAGTCTTTTCTTCAATCAAAGCCAAAACGTCAATCTTCTCTTCAATCAAGGCCAAAACGTCTGTCTTCTCTCCAATCAAGGCCAAAACGTCAGTTTTCTCTTCAATCAAGGCCAAAACATCAATCTTCTCTTCAATCAAGGCCAAAACATCAGTCCTTCCTTCAATCAAGGTCAAAACGTCAGTTTCTCTTCAATCAAGGTCAAAACATGTCTCCTCTTCTATCAAGGCCAAAACAAAAGCCTTGCAGTGATTATAGAAATAAAGGCAGAGATGGGAATATTCACCTAACTGCACCAATGGCCAGGTTTAAAAAATAGGCCAAGGCTCAATACTTGAACAATCTCCACACAGTGCTGTTTTTCTTGTTACTTGATATGTAATGGGAGATGATAGGCAAGAGTTAGTTCCCCTTACATACCTAAGAAAAAGACTATAGGGCCCACTGAGTTGAAGTACCCTGTAGTACCTTCCAGAACTAATTATAGCACACCTCTCCCAACTATTGTACAATGTGACAAACTTGGATTGTTATTACACAGTGAAATATACTGCCACGTAAGACAAGTATGGAATTCAGACATCCAGAGTAAATCACTTAAGAGCCTTAAACACTGACTGCAAAACATGAACAAGTGACCTGGAAGGACCAGTGAGCTGCCCTAATCCCACAACCAGTTCATCTGCATAATGAAACCCCAGCTTTAGCAATCTATTTGCTGTGACATCACAGTGTTAAGACATCCACCGTTTTCCTTTGTTTGCAGTGCATTCATCTACATCACAATTAACTGAATATGTGTTTTTCTCTGTGTTCAGGAGATGCTAAATGTGATATTGTGTTGTGTGTGGGTGTCCCTGTTCATCAAACAAAGGTATCAGGCATAATTTTTCAGACGTTCATGCATAAAGATTGATTTAGCGAGGAGGAAAGTTTAGAAATGTCAATGTCATCGTGGAGAAAAGGAATGGAATACCACTGGACATGCCGTGTTCTGTTCCTTGACGACGAGTCTCTCTGGTCATATTCAACACACCTGCCAGGACAAACATCACAACAATGTTGAGGGATTCTCTGGTAAACTAGGTCTTGAGAATCTCATTTAAACACAGTATCTATAAGTCCTGAAAATGTCAGGTCATGTGATGGCAACTCTGCTCATTACCTCTGTGATTTCCGGAAAACAAGTAGTTTCTTAACGTTTGTTGATATTAATGTTGACTTAAGAAAAAACATTTCATATTTCATCTGTATTTCTCCTTTTAGTTTTGGACCTGTTGCTTCAGTGCACTGAGCAGATGGTTCACGTGATCTGGATAAAATTGAACAAAGGGAAATAAATTTCTGAGCAGGCAAATACTTTCATATATCCTGTCACGAAGAAAACATGCTTCACTTGGATTTGTGTGCTTGAGAATATATCCCTTGAAACCCACTACAAGGCAAATAGCTGCATGTTGTTAATGAATCAATAAAAGTCACCTCACACAGTACAGTTTGACCTCCACTCAATTAAACAGCTGTCCTCTATCAATGTTTATGTCGCAGTACCATCATGGTGGATATACATTGATATATGATGGCATTGGCAAAATACTCTTCATGAATATGTCAACTAGTTATGACTATGTCAAATGTATGGTTGATGTACCTCAGTAATGTTGAAATAGAGTGGTACTGTTGATTTATGTCATCAGGTTCTTGGATACCCACAAAGTGGAAAGAGAGTATTGAAAGGTTTTAAAGTTCTGCTCCAGAAAGGATCACTACCACCAATTTCAGTCGAAGTCAAACTTGTTGCCATAGAAATGCAAAAAGATTTTATTCAGAAATCCAAAACCATCAAAAAACCAGTCCACCACCAGACCTATCTATGTGCCAAGTTTGGTGAAGAAATGATAAAGAGTTTTAAAGTTCTGCTCCAGTAAAAGAGCACAACACAGATTTCAGTCAAAGTCAAACTTGTTGCCATGGAAACGTAAAAAATATTTGATTTGGAAATCCAAAACTACCGAAAGCACCAGTTCATCACCAGACCTATCTATGTGCTAAGTTTGGTGAGGAAATATTGAACAATTTTTATGTTCTGCTCCGGAAAAAGACGAATTTTCACGACAGACAGAGTCCATTTTAATACCCCACGCGGAAAACGCTTTGCAGGGTATAATGAGAGTCTCTGATCATCCATTATGTGTCCACCCAATCTCCCATGATTACAATGGCAAAAACAACTTGAATTGTAATACATGACACATGTTCCAAGTCAGTTTGGTTTGATGTTGCTTTGTGTATTACATGGAGAGTACCACTGATTGGGTCACAACAACTGATTGGGTCACAATTCTGACTGATTAGAAATTGTGTTCTTTGAGTTTGCACATGTGAATAAGTACTTGAATAAGTCATTTTTGTGTATGTTCATTGTGATTCCTGCAATCTGATGCAATGAATAATTAAAAGCTGTATTCAGTTCCCAAGAAACGTAACTAAGTAACCCAGCCTGTTGATGGTTGTCTCTACAATATAATATGAGGGAATCTGAATGGACATTCTGGGAATTCTGTCTGGTTCTTACCACTGTAATTTGTGGAGCACAGTGGTGTAGTGGTTAGCATGCTGGCCTCTCACGCCAAAGGCCCGGGTTCGAATCCCGGTGGAGACCCAAAATTTGTGACCTGGGTCTCATGCTGTGTTGTGTCCCTGGGCAAGGCACTTCATCAACATTGCACTCAGTCCACCCAGCTGTTCCAAATGGGTACCTGAGAAGCGGATGTATGGACCTATACGGTCGCCCGAAGCGCTTAGTAGCAGCTTTGAAAGTACAATTCTGTCAGGGTAATAATGTAACGCCAGAGAGCAGCATCGTGCTTGATTCTAGGCGCAAAAATTAGCATTATTATTATTATTAATCATGGTCAATGTATAAGTTTGCAGTGTTAGGATTTGTGACCTCAGTGTTCACTCAGATCATTGTTAGCTAGGTTAACTATTATCTTACATCACACATAAATGTCGTTTTCTGACATTCAATGTACCCTGCTTACAAACGAGTAACATTTTCTATGTTACCTGCTGGAAATGACGAACTGTGGGAATTCGTTTGGTACTTTGTGTTAGTAGAGTTTGGGCTGTTGCCTAACTCCAGTACTCCTTGTTATGATCCAATACCCGTGCTTCAAACAGTTCAAAATTAACATTGAGGTGTTCGGTAAGATAAATACGTTGTTCACTGGTCCCTCAGGGCCCATGGACCCATGAACAGTGAACAACTTATGTTGTCTGTGAACATGCTGGACAACATGGGGTGGAAGCCTGGGTATGTTTAAACTTGTAATAATTATCTAGTGTACCTTCATTGTTGTTCTCTGTGTTTAACTGTGTGATTCAATCCAGCATAGCAAACAGAGGATGAACACAGCACAGATTTCATGTCAGGAGTCTTGTAGGTGGAGATAGCGATCCACACAACTGGACACATCAATGGACAAAGATAACTTTCATCTGACTTGTGTATCACAAAAGAGACCCGTGACAAAATAGTTTCATTTGGTCTGCACAAAATCCTCATCAGCATAAAACATGTCTATACAAGATAAAAATACTTTTTAATCAGAATTATGTACATTTTAAGCAGCTGAATTGTTTTACTTTAAAAACCAGTTACAGATTCCAGCAATACAGGAAGCAAACATAACACAATGAAATGACTGACTGACTGACTGAGTTTGGTTTTACGCCGCTTTTAGCAATATTCCAGCAACATCACGGCGGGGGACACCAGAAATGGGCTTCACACATTGTGCCCATGTGGGGATTCGAACCCGGGTCTTCGGCGTGACGAGCCAACGCTTTAACCATTAGGCTACCCCACCGCCCCACAATGAAATGAAATACACAATGCATATGAAGGTGACAAATTTAGCACTTGAGATGTTACGGTGATGGCATATGTGTATATAGCAATATGGCTAAAAATCACAATTCATCTCTTGGTCGGCCATTGTAGTCACAAACTTTACTGAAATTACAGGAAATGAGATCTACAAATCGCTTTCTAACCTGACTGTAGAGACAAGTTAAGTCTTCACAGCCAGGAATTTTCATTACTTTTTCATTCACGTACAGTCGTAACATGTACTGAGTTGTCTCCCTTGTTTCATCCGCAGCCTCACTTTCAGTTAGCAGTTCATCATTCTGGTCACATTCATATAGAATCAGCATTAAATTGGCAGAGAAGGGCAGAATTTCACTGGTCCGAAAGAGACGACTGCTTTGCTGGAGGTAGTTATCAGCAGTGAGAGGTAGTGTGTCGTTGAACAGCCCCAGTGCTGCGTACAGAGGTCCCAGAGTCTCCGCGTGGCCGAAGTAGAAGTTTCCCAGAACATACCTGGAATACAGTAGAAACACAATATAATAAGATGTAATTCATCTACAAAAATATTCTGTTCTTTTGGTAAGCCCTTTATTAATCCCTAAAAACTCCCAAACAATAAAAACATCAAAATGTGCGTTATAATTCAAACATACATATTTTGAACTATATTTTGTTTGTAATTTTATCGTTACTTTCATTTAGAGAGACACTCAATAGTTTTGACACACAAAAACTAAAAACATTTGTCTGGTCGACATGCTTCTAAGAGCTCCTCAAATGTTTTTGAATGTGAATTAAACACCATTCCATAGTTGCTGACAATACACACAACAGATTTAAAACTACTAATTGTCTTGACTGGTTTTGTGGGAGATGGAATAGAAGTATTCTGTATGCTGTATGCTGCAATAATTCAGGCATATTTAAAAACAATATTTTAATCCACCAATCCCTACAGGCAAACTGATTCAGTCTGCAACTTCATCCATGAGCCTGTAGCCCAAGTCTAGAAAGAATCTGGTTTGTCTAGTAAGCTGAGGAATACCAACCCATGTAATGCCACTGAAATGGAATTATAATGAAGCTGAGAGCCAAGTTTGGACCAACAGACTTGTCTTCAAAATCAACTATAATACCCTCGCGTCATGGGTTTCCGTGGTATTAAGAAATTTACGACTATGAATATGATCGTTCATATTGCCAAGTCATATAAACATAATATAGTGTTAGACGACATACCTTTGTATCATTTAATGTCAATAAAACACTTTTGTCATTCATTCATTGTTGTCCGTATCGGACAACAGGCGGCCATTGTGCACAAACTCTGGTGACGTCATATGTTTCCGTGGTATTTCCTACAGATCAAATTACAAGCGCACAGCACATGTCACAATCTCACACGTTGTCAACAGCCAATCTGGGAGTGACAATGTAGGTTTACAGTAATATCGAAGTTGATAAATTGTAATACAGTAAACGATTTTGTAGAATTTACACAATAGTCACATTTCTTCAGCATAAATTTCCAGTTCATAGAATATGTAGAGTTGATACGGGATACATGAAATGAAAAGTGAAAAAATAACTTAAGAGATGACCCTATCGGGCTTCTATAGTTTTAAAAAATAGAGCTGGGATTCCTCCCTTAGGTCACGTGATTGTTTTTATTGATGACATCATGTAGCAGATGAGCGATGTTTGGAAAACTTTGAAGCTGAGTAAGTTTATAGAATATGTTTGCAAAGATCGCGCAAAAAATGCATTACGTGCTAGACATAAAGTTGCATTAGTTTTTAATAGTAGATGACTGTACGCACGCAAATTGATGAAAGTCTGAACAGTTTTTGTTCAGACCCGTGCCGATCAACTGATGAACGTAAACAATCGATAGGTGGCGGATTTGGCGAGTGGCTCGTGAGAAATTATGTCATTAGAAAATACCACGGAAATGTAAGTACCACGGAATCATATGACGGCATGGTACCATATCCATCACATAAGAAACACACAAAAACACATGATCCATCCATTTAACCAAGCCATTATTTCTGTCTGACATACTTTATAGGTATTCTTCATCACAAATGTAGCGACAAATGTTTGTAATTATGTTCACTCCAGAAGGTTTACAAGCTGATACTGATGAACATTGACCAGTGTGATGGACTGGTTGCAACCAGCAGTTCACATCAAAACTGACTGTTGTAGAAAGTGTATCAGCTTTCTTTTCCATTGTGTATATAATAAAACTGAGTCAATTTTACCTGAAATAGTGTCTGGTAAATGATATCGTATCATGAATCAACATCATGAAATATATCTCATCATGGTTGGTTGGTTGGTTGTTGTTAAACGCCACACTCAGCAATATTCCAGCTATATGATGGCAAAGTCTGGACCAGACAATCCACTGATCAACAGCATGAGCATCAATCTATGATGACATGTGTCAACCAAGTCCCCAGATAGCATTCAGACGTTTGCCCAACGTTGGCAATACTTTTGCTAACATTGCCAACGTTGGGCCAACATCCGAAGTGCTATCTGGGTCAGTGAGCCTGACCACCCGATCTGATAGTCACCTCTTACAACAAGCATGGGAACTGAAGACCAATTCTAAACCAGATCTTCACGGGTCATCTTATCATGAGTGACTGCAGTGTGTGGGCTTGACCCTGAAACAAATCGGGCAGGGGGGTAGCCTAGTGGTTAAAGCATCCACTCGTCATGCTGAAGACCCGGGTTCGATTCCCCACATGGGTACAATGTGTGAAGCCCATTTCTGGTGTTCCCCACCCTGATATGGCATGAATATTACGAAAAGCAGCGTAAAACCATACTCACTCACTCACTCACTCACTCACTGAAACAAATGTATCCAAGAAAGCCCATGCAAGTCTAGAAAATGTGGCAAGTCCAGATTACCACAGTTTCAGGCTGAAAATGAAGAAGGTCTCTGGTCTCCTTTATTATTTTTTTTATGAACATTGTTTTTCTTGTTTTTATGCTTGTAAACTAACACAACACTAAGCAGTATTGCAGCTGTAAATCAACAGCTGGAAAATAATGGGAATCTGGACCACACAATCCAATGACATCACAGCAATGTGCCTCGTTGCAAAACTTTGGTGATCAGTGATAAGATAAGGGTGGAACAAACCCGTTCAAATCCTCCTCATCCACTTCAGTTTCCATTGCTTCAATAGCATCGTCCATGGTGGTGAAGATATCTGTGACCAATGGGCAGCTCTGGATTGCTGTTATCTTGTGTCCATAGCCATTCTTGTAGTAGTGCTGAAACAAAAGTGAGTGAGTGAGTGAGTTTTATGCCACACTCCGCAATATTCCAGCTATGTGGTGGCGGTCTGTAAATAATTGAGTCTGGACAACACAATCCAGTGAAAAGACAGCAGTGGGTCAGTAAGCCGGTTTGTGGCTGTTTGGACAAGAACTTATAGCACAGCTTGCCAGAATAATAAATGGAAAACCAAAGTAAAGCAGGTTATATATGTTTATCTCCTGTGTGAAAGGAAGGTTTTGGTGCTGAGCAACAAGTTATGACAAGTCTGCATGAGTAGGACTTCAGAGCACTTGCTCCTCCATCCAAATTAACCCCACCCCACTCTACTCCACCCACATCGCGAAGAACAGCAGAGGATAGTAAAAAGTATTAAATATTGGATACCTCTCCGGATGCCCCATGAAGTGAAATATTCACTCAGCTATTGTGTTTTGGTTTTGGTGTGCACATCAACAAGACATCAAAACACAACTACCCATGGCCAAGTAGATATGAGTTATATTGCAATAATGTAATTTTTAGAGTAAAATTGATATTTTATACTTATCCTGACTCATGCTCTTTTTGCTTGTCTTCTTCTTCTTGCGAACATAGTGGAACACTTGTATCTCCCTAATTGAAGCTCCCTTCAATGTAAAATCACTAATTAGTACTCACCACGAGTTACCTCCCTTCCACAAGCTCGGGAACGAGGGCGCCACCTCCACCCATGTGCCTCACTCTCTCCTCATATACTGAGCCCAACATTTGAATTTACAGGGAAATCCAAAGTGTTATGTGGGGAGGATGGGAGGGCTTACCTCATGAGTCAGGATAAGTATAAAATATCAATTTTACTCTAAAAATTACATATTTTTCCTTATCCTGACTCATGCTCTTTTTGCTTGTAGAATCCTACGGCAAAGGAGGTGGGAATATATAATACTTTGGATTTTAATAATTAGTGATTTGAACTGTAATGATTGTAATAACCCTATGGGAACTTCATAAAGGCACTGAACTGATGAATTCCTGCTGCTAACTTATCAGCTGCCATATAAAGGTTATTACAATGTACTTATTATGATAAAGTATATATAACATTAATACAATGCTTAAGACTAATAGACTGAAGCTTGTTAATATGCTAGTATAAACTCCTTAGAGTTTGTTAGCTAAAATACTTTAAGATATAAACATAGTACTAAGCTTAAGATATGATAAACTTAAGCTAATTATATAATAGCAAAACTCTTTAGAGTTTGTTAGTTAATATACTTATATGATATAGATATAATGCTGAGCTTAAGATATGAATAAGCTTTAGCTACATATATAATAGCAAAACTCTGTAGAGTTTGTTAGCTAATATATTTTTACAATATGAGTATAGTACTGTGCTTAAGATATAATTAACTTAAGCTACATATACAATAGCCAAAACTCTGTAGAGTTTATTAGCTAATAGATTTATAATATAACCATAGTACTAAGCTTAAGATAAGATTAGACTTAAGCTAAATGTATATAGCAAAAAACTCCTTAGAGTTTATTAACTAATATACTTTTATGTTATAAACATAGTACTGAGCTTAAGATATGATTAAACTTAAGCTATATATATAATAGCAAAAACTCCGTAGAGTTTTGTTAGCTAATACATTTTATAATGTAACCATACTGCTTAAGATATGAAGAAATTTAAGCTAATTGTATAATAGCAAAAAACCCTTTAGAGTTTGTTAGCTAAAATACTTATATGATATAAACCTAGTATTGAGCTTATGAAGGAAACCTTAAGCTACATATATAATAGCAAAAACTCTGTAGAGTTTGTTAGCTAATACATGTTATAATGTAACCATAAAGCTTAAAATATGATGAAACTTAAGCCAAATATATAATAGCAAAAACCTCTTTTTTAGAGTTTTGATAGCTAATATACCTATATGATATAAACATAGTATTGCGCTTAAGATATGAATAAGCTTAAGTTACATATATAATAGCAAAAACTCTGTAGAGTTTGTTAGCTAATACATGTTATAATGTAATCATATTGCTTAAGATATGATGACACTTAAGCCAAATAGCAAAAAACTCTTTAGAGTTTGTTAGCTAATATACTTATATGATATAAACATAGTACTGAGCTTAAGATATGAATAAGCTTAAGCTACCTATATAATAGCCCAAACTCTGTAGAGTTTGTGAGCTTATATATTTTTACAATATGAGTATAGTACTATGCTTAAGATATAATTAACTTAAGCTACGATATAATAGCCAAAAACTCTGTAGAGTTTGTTAGCTAATGCATTTATCATGTAACCATAGTACTACTCTTAAGATATGATTAACTTAAGGTAAATATATAATAACCAACTCTGTAGAGTTGTTAACTTATATATTGTATGATGTAATAATCATAGTACTGTGATGATAAAAGAACTTAAGCAAAATTATATATATAGCATGTAGCTATTTAGTACTGTTATAAGATAAGTAGAAATCTGGAAGATTGACTTATCTTCTCCGAGGAACTGTCAACTGTTGTGCGAGGACCATGGGATCGAATTGGTGGATACCTGAGACGTCCTCGGTGGTGATATCTCTCAGATAATGGTTGGCAATCACCATATCGGATCTCCAGAAATAAACTCTCCATTATTTCAAATAGCATTTGTGTAGATCAATTGTAGAAGTTAGCGCTCTAATATCATGAGTATTAAAAGCTCATGGAGGGTCGGATTAGGTCCATCCGTCCTTGTATGCCGCGTAGTATGACAGTTCTGATCCAAACGGAGATATAGTGCGTGAGACTTCATTTTGCGTAAGTTGATGATAAAGGAAATAATCTTTTGCATTTTTCCCTCCTGTTTGGTTCGGTGGAGATAAATTTACAGTGCTCTTGCCGGCCATCGTGATAGAATCATCGTATCATGGAGTCCAAGTATGTCATCCAGGCGTGTTCATAAACCTCACTTGTGAGGTGTTGGAGCACTATATTCAGATCCCCAAGTTGGAGGGTGAAACTTCCGTTTTAATTCTCCAATCAGAAAGCTTAAGTAGGTTTACTAACCATCTAGTTGTGTTAGTAGCTTGATGATGAAATTCAGCTGTAGTCTGAGACGCTGTGGATTTAGATCCACTTGTATCCCGTCGTCTAGGTTATTCGCTGCGAAGTCCTTGACGATGTAGGTGCACAACCAGGTGTGTCTGTCCTCGTTGAACTTTATGTAAAATCGCCTGACTGCCGTGCCTTGTCCTAACTTGACAGGGAGGTCTCTAACCTGAAGAAAGCAGCCCAATCATGAAGGTTCAGATTAACTGGACTGTAAGGAGGCTTGCTTTCGTTCACTGATATATAGTTGTCACTTGTAGCGTAAGTCTTGAACTGTGAACTAAGATTGACCTCTCATGTAGAGTCGTTGTCCAACGCGGTCCAATCAGAACAAGGCATTTGATTCTGTAGAATACCCGCTGTGATGTCACGGTGTAGCAGGAAAAACCTTGTATAAAATCTTGCCGTCGTTGATATTAGCATAATCGTCGGTCTTCACCGTAAGCTTCGAAAGTTACCCGAGTGACCACGTGTTTCGAGGGTTAAAGGTAAACGCCAGCGAAACCCTCCGGTAGCGAAATACCTCGCTCTGTAAATTAATGCTGGGTAGGTTATTTTCCTGGCTGTCGTGAAAGTAACTTCAGTTTTGAATATAATTCCGACTTCCTTATATAAAGGTACAATAAACTTGCAAGTTGTCAGCTTGTAGACTGTATACATGAATGTATCGTCATAATTGTAGAATTAAAGCTGAACTTGTTGTACATATTTCTTCTCAGAAACTTTGACGATTATGAGTTATACTCGCTGTAACAAGGCTGCTGTTCAATTTCTCGATATTGAATTGTCTGCAGATGTGCGTAATGGTCACGCATGTAAATAATCGTGATCGTAGTCCGGGATTGCATATTCTAGCAATCTATAAGGAAAGGTTGATTCCTGTGAAGATCTATGAAACGTCGTTGACTAATTAATACAGCCGGCGTTCTGTGTTGTAAATAGCCTGTGCAATTGTCTTCGGCGTGAGGCTTATAGGCGGCATATGGCATACAGTTGATAGACAACTTATGCGATGTCTTGAACGGACTGGACGAGTAGCTATATATGACGAAGTGTGGCTAATATATGGAGACCTTGGAGGAGATTTCCTCGGTGGACGCCGGAGACTTCACGAAGCTCTCGAAGTATCCATTCTAGATTTTCTGTGTGAAGTAGACTTGTAGCCACTTAGCCTTTGCGACCATCGCGAAGGTATCGAGTCAGAGCCCGATCAGTATATATATATGATATGCTTTGCCCGCGAATGACCTCTGTGTTCAACAGGAGTGAGTGAGTGAGTGAGTTTAGTTTCACGCCGCGACTCAGCAATATGTGGGGTCGGTGAAGCTTACTCCTCCGCCTGACGTCCCTTGTAACTGGTGAGGCTCTAGCTCCTTCGCGGAGGTGGCCTGGGACTTCCTTAGCGAAGTGTCTAGAGTCCGATCAATATATGAGCGTTAGCTTCATACAGGGTGGTTCTTGCTGGTTCTGCATAAGTAGAGCCGAGTAGATCATCCTATCATCTTCAGAAGTCGTGTCACGAAATCTGGTGATAAGAATCTCATTGATCGTTCTAGATCTATTAAGGCCAAGAACATACGCCTCTGGCGTTTGAACTTTTATGGCTTTATGGTAGGCTGTGTCCACATTCTGTGGCACCGCGGCAATCGAGTCGTCGGAGGTAAGGTGATGGCGCCTGCATCGTCTTCCTTTATCAGGTATGTCTCGCGCCGAAGTTGCCACTCTTGGAAGGTGAAGAGATCTAGGTTGTTTACCATCCAATATCGTATCTCAGCGTCTGAGAAAATTATGCCTCCATCATTTTCTATCCCAGCATCGCTGATGAGAGGTTGATGCTCTTCTGATGGTGGACTGTGTATTTCTATCTCTATGTCGGGTGACGCTCGGGGAGACCTGACTGTAGACTTGTGTGCAGACTTGTGTGGTGACCTGTGAGGCGATCGACGTGGTGATGTACGAGGAGATCGGCGCGGTGAACGGCGAGGAGATCGTCTTGGCGATCTGCGTCTATGGGTTGACCTTCTCGGAGACCTGTGAGGAGAATGTTGATAGCTTCGCGAAGCTTCTTCTGCGTCCGGTCCTGGGGAACGGCGACTTGACCTTCGCGAAGGCTTCCGTGAGGTCTGGTGGTCTGAGTCCGCATCTAAGGATGAAGCCGAGGAAGGTGATGATCTTCGCGAAGGCTGTACATCTGGGTCCTTCGTCGAGGTGGTCTGCGACTTCCTTCGCGAAGGTGGCTTCGTCGTGGCTGCTACGCTGACGGGGGTGCCTCTGGGGTGTCGTCTGCGTTGGAACCTTCGCGAAGGCTCAGGCCTTGGGCTGGCTGCTTCTCCAGTCTGTAGTGGCCCTCCATCATGATCATGATTTGCCGCAACAGTTCATCTGGGATGGTCTGCGATGAAGTAGTCGGTGCCCTCTCTGCGATGTTAGCGGCGGGGCCCTCAGGGAAGTCGTCTGACGTCAGTGTAGAGACATCAGGCTGCATGGCGATCTCTGCTGATGTCACTGTAGCTGTCTCCGGTCGCTTCTTGTGGCGTACGTCGGGGATGATGATCGGATGATCATCGAGGCCCAGTTCAGCGGCTGGAACAATCTCGGTTGAGAAAGTCCTAGTAGACTTCGTTGATTTCCCCTCAGAGGTCGACGCTGCCCTGGGGGTCGCGAAGTCTGGTTGAGTGTTGGTAGCGGCAGGGACCCTCAGGAAGATCATAGAATATCAGCGTTGGTACATCAGGCTGCATGTTGATCTGCGCTGACATCACTGTTGCCGACATCGGTCATTCTTTTGATGTACATCAGGTATGATGATCGGCTGATCATCATACAGGCCCAAATCTGCGACGGGAACAATCTCGGCTGAGAAGTTCAAGTAGACTTCGTTGATTTCCCCTCAGAGGTCGCGTTGAGATGCAGTAGAAACCCTCTAGTCTTCGGCTGCGACGATGGGATGTCTGGGGAAGCAGGACGCTTCTTGGAGCGCGGACTACGTCCCACGCCTCCACCACCCTCTAGCGGAACACCAGGCGGGAGGGGGTCGACCAACAGCAGTAGACTGGCGAGGGTTCAGGTGTATCAGTCATGGCTAGACTCTGCATATGCGGCCTATCTGCTGCGCGTCTCAAACGCAAAGTAATTATTTATTAAAGGCAGAATTGGATAGATTAGTACCGCAACTGCAACGTGAATAAAATGAAACATGGCGCAGTACAGCTAGGGCATATTAAATGCGGATCAGCAGCAGAATAAAAACGTTATGTGCAACAGTACAGAATTTTTATCCACGTAATCCACTGAAACAACACGGCGTCGTCCCGTGAATAAACAGTAGAAACACGACTAAATATCAATATATAATTGTTGAAGGATACTAGCTAAACCTCTATAGATGTCTATACGAGGTAACTAACTAAATATAATCAAAGGATATAGTGTGTCGGGAGACACAGGCGCTCTCACGTCCAGCTCACTGGGCGAAGAAGGAGAGAGTGAGGCACATGGGTGGAGGTGGCGCCCTCGTTCCCACGCTTGTGGAAGGGAGGTAACTCGTGGTGAGTACTAATTAGTGATTTTACATTGAAGGGAGCTTCAATTAGGGAGATACAAGTGTTCCACTATGTTCGCAAGAAGAAGAAGACAAGCAAAAAGAGCATGAGTCAGGATAAGGAAAAATAATAATTGTTTCTGTTCCATAGCCATAAAAGGTTTGTTTCCAATATAGGAAAATCCTGTCAGTTTATATACAAAAAAAGAGAGCAATTATAACACATTTCATTGACATGTCAATCAATATCAGCATATCTAAGATTGCTACTTTCCCCAGTTTGCACAGATGGCTTCATGGCCAGCTGTCTGGAAGCAGTCAAGACCAGCTGAAAGTCAAATGCAACCATTCTACCAAGACTGTAAAATACCTGATTCTGCTAATTCAAATTTTACTGAACACAAGTTGGCAAGTTTTGGTAAGGTGCTGCCACTGACAGGCTAAGGATCATGTCCAGGAAATCAGCTTATCCTGGCATATGAAAGGGATGGTACTCTTTGCAGTGAATTGCAGTGCTTAAAACCATAGTGCCACAAAAAACAATGTCAAATTACCTTTAAGTCAGACAGGTATTCCAGCACCTTGAAATCCTCCTCATCAAACAGACTGCACCATGGGGAAGACTGGTACAGGGCTGTTTCATATCCACACACAAGGTACATTGTCCGTAAATGTTCTGGAAAAAAATTCAAGAGGTATGTTTAGGTACAGATTCTAGTACTTCAGGGATGTGAACCTACATTGTCAGAGTGAGGCACCTAATCACCAGCACACAAGGTCAGGGATCCACTTAGCGACCACGGCTTCCACAAAAAGATGGTCTGACAGTGACAACTGGTAGCCTAGATCATGTACTTTGTGTACCTCTCTGACAAGTGTATTCAGTATTTACATGTCATAAGGGGACAGGGTACTTAGGGACGCCTGCCAGTTCTTAAAGGTCACATGCAACGTAAAACACAACTTTGCAGATTCTGATACCTTTCGGTATGGACTTACCGAAACAAATCATCAAAAATGCAAATTCAACTTATAAAGTGGAAAATAATGCGATGAAAAAAACAGCGCGAAATCGGAGTTCAAACGATTTACCAATTTTTCCCCCAGCACTTGGGGGAAAAGTGGTTTCAACAGCTGGGCTGCACTGCGCTGGGCTGCTCTCATAGCACATGTGCAGTGAAACTGGTTCGTACAGCTTGGAAGGTTGTCCAGATTATAAGGTCGTGAGCAGGAGTAGTCTAATCAAAACAAATAGTAAATAATCTACTCATTACATAAAAGAACCTTGTTAGGATCTAGATCTACTCAGCTATGTGTCAACCAGTGAGGCGTTCGACATTTCAAGACGGAAAACCTTCGCTGGCGGTGAATACTCGGTGAAGGCTTTGGTGTGAGCTATTTTTCTAATGTTTTGTTGATATTTCATAGGCGCAAGCTTTTTATATGTTATGACAGTAGATTACCGATTTAACTGTTTATATAATTTCATTTGTCTATTTCACCACACGCCACACTTACCGAGTCTTTCTTAGTTCAATACTTAAAAGCAATGTCATTATTTAACGTTGACAGAATTTCTAACTGTGATATGAATATGTTGTTGTCACAGACAAAACTCAATGTCTGTTTCATTGACACCTATGTGTCTGCCTGCCTGTCTGCTAATGACAAAATTCAATACATAACTTCGATCACTGACCACATGCAATTTGAACTTAACACCTATCAGGCTATACACCATAAACAAAAAGCATTGATTTATGGCCCGAGTTCGGTCTCTGTCACATTACATAATTACACGGACATGCAGGTGTGATAGTGGTACACATGACATGTTATGATGTCTGTTGATTGCAAAATGTTATACACAAAATATGAGCATGTATTTACAAAACCCAACATCTCTATCAGGGGCGGATACAGCTTTTTGAGAAAGGGGTGGAGTTTTAATGGTCATTTAACAAACTTTCAGCACATAAGGGAGGGTTGCGCACCCCCTCTGGATCCGCCTATGTCTATATATTATACACACACAATGAGCCGTGAGGGCATCTGCATATGAACCAGCCACTACACTTGAGTGCACACCCACCCGCTCTGACTGGGTTCAGTATCCCGGTTCTTCGTTTCGAGGGAAGTAAACCCAAGTACGAAATATTGCACTTTTGATTTGCGATTGTACGCTTATAATTTTGTTTATATGTTTTTTCATAATCAGCAATGTATATTATATGTCATGAATAAGTGATAATTGTGTTTTAATTATGTTTGATTCTTTGGTTGCGTGTGACCTTTACATTGACATTTCCTGAGGTGTAGCTTGGGGGAATTTACTTGTAAGCAATCATGTTGCAGTTTATTTTCAGCAGTATCTTTTCTAAAACAAGTACATCTGTACAACATAGCTAAAGCAGACCTCACAAACCTACCACTACCATGTTCTGTGTATAACACATCAGTAAACTAAATGAGATAATAATGAACAATATAATCATGGCAATCAATATGTTACATTAATTTGCTACAATGGTTTATATCATTTCTATAAAACGTATCAATATGTTTTTATATTTTCATAGGATGATGCCACAGCCGTCACGTGTGACAATCAATGTGCCATACAACAGAAACAATTGTGCATATCATTATCATTCAAAGTAATTGTTATCATAATCATCGTACAGGAAAATATATACAAATGAATTGCTGTATAAAATTAATTAGAGACATTATTGTTTGAGAATGTAAAAACAACCAGCATCACATTAAATTTGCATAGCAAATTTGAGGTAGAAATATGGAGACTTGTCCTTTCCACCACATGTATTCATCTGTCAACTGTTAAATTAACAGTTAGAGATAGTACCACAGAGAAAACACAAACATCCTGACTATGAATATCAGAGAACATTAAAACAAAGTCAGATGAATGCTTGTTGAAGATTGGTCATGCTTGTTCCAAATTAATGCCTCCAAAAGCCTGAATATTGAAGAGAATCCCTCCAAAACTTTTCAACTTTAGTTCATCCTCCATTAGTTGAACTGTCTTGCAATAATAGATAGTCATCTGTATGCAATAACTGATTATGATTGCTAACCTCGTTAGGATGGGAAAGCCACAATAACTCGGTGCGCCTAGTGGCTGCAAGAGTTGTATACTCCCCAGGGAGTTGAGATTGATAATACGATGTGCCGTTGAGATTGACATCCAATGATCGAGGGAAAAATACCATGCACTAGTTGAGCATGCACTAGTTGCCTGGATATGTAATAATATATAATAATAATAATAATAATAATAATAATAATAATAATGATTGTTGCTAGTTGTACGCAGAAAAGAATCTTTTCAGAAAAGAGACATTATCATGAGGATCTAGGATGTAATTTGTACTGTACAGGATCACATAGAAACAAGCACACAAGTCTCCTTCTGACTCCTGAACAAAACCACACATAACCCTCCAGTAGCTATACGTCTGCACACTGGACAGACATAAGTTTAATTTACCATGTATTTTCAATGGCACTTTGGATAACGTCTGAAAAGTCATGACTGTTTTTGCACATGGAGCTTGTTCTTGATCTGATGACCTCCAACCTACCATGTAGAAATAATGGTGACTATTCAGACCATAACCTACACACATCATTGCCATCATTCAGAGCCAAATATATATATATGTATATTTATATATATAGACAGATGTTAGCAATTATTCAGCCAGTGAACCATTTTCAGTGATGGATGGAATCTGTGGGCTTCATACAATTCCACTCTCATCATTGTCCTGAATTGGAACAAACTCAGGATAATTTGAACCAATTCAGGACAATTTGTACTCCACTGATTTTCCAATTTCTTTGTATTTAAAAATTAACAGTCACACATTCCAAAACTCAATGTCCTAATTTTTGTTTTTGCTTTAAAGGAGAATACTAGACAATTGCAAAAATTTGCTGGGTGAAAGATAAAGTCATCCGAAACATGTACCCTGAGTGTTATTTAAAAAATATGCTTTATTATGTTTTTTCGCAAAAACAGTTTCTGTTATCTGAGCTTCAGCCATTATGCATATTCCGCTGGAACTCACGTGACCTTTCCTCTCGTGACGTCATATGTGACAAGCGTCCGACATATTGCCAAAGAACAAGCGCTACATTAATACAAATCGTATTGTTTCTGTCGTTTTTGTAAATGGTACGATAGTGTATTCTGTTGCCCCAGGGATGCACGGAATCATCGAACAATGGAAAGAGACACCATTTCTTCCGTTTTCCAAGTAAAGAGACAGATTTAGGCAGGAGAAATGTTCCGATCATTCCGAGTCGGACTCATATAAAAGAGACATGCACACATGGGAATTGAAAATCCCCAAGCTAGGCTGAAGAAGGAAGAAGTACCCACGAGATTCATTTATACTCCATCATTTCCTGTTACAACATACTGTCAGTGGTATTTTTAACATAAATTAGATTAAAGTCCAATTGCCAGTCCAATTGCCCCAGCAAATTTAGTCAAATTGCCCCGAAGTTTTGGTCAAATTGCCCCAGGGGGTAGTCAAAATGCCCCAATATATTTAAAATGATTATATATAGGCCATAAATGCATAGTTTTGTCAACTTTGATATTATGTTCTTCATATAAAAGTATATACATAGTTATGAGTTTACTAATGGAACATTTATCAGAAATATTACTTCCTAATAACTTTTATATAAAGAACATAATATCAAAGTTGATAAAAACTATGCATTTATGGCATATATTTAATCATGTTGGAGCCCTAAATGCTGCAGTCTACCTGAAACATTGCCGAATACAACGGCAAATCATGAAGTACTTGTTGCTTTCATTGTTTTCCATTTTGTCCAATTACGTCGGCATCAGACTCGCTATTTGTCAGTAGTGTGTGCCGTGAAAGTTGTTCTGTATTCTCATTGGCTGACAAGATGTCATTCTAAGGCTATGGCTGAGTACTATTTCCATAACCAAACACTGGGGAAACATACATTGTCCTGACTAGTATTTTATAATTCACCAGTTTTTGGGGAATAACCATTCTGCGTCGCGAATATTATCACTGCTCGACCAGGCTGGGATCTTGTATGGAGACTTAATACATTATTAATGAGAATTAGGATCCTAATTGTTCAACAAAATAATTCCAGTGTTATTTTTGTAGCAGATATTTTCTATTTTCCTCCGTCTGAAGCATAATTATTTTGTTTTTAAATCCCAGACACCCTACAGTCACCGATTTGACACAAAAGGAACTGCAACCACATTTAAAAAAAAAAAATTCTTAGGGACTGGTCATATATGTATAGGGGTGGGTTTGCTGGTTGGAACTTCACACATTTTGCTGACAAATGGTATTCTTGTTAAATGATATGGTCTATTTTTAAATTTATTTTGACCTCAAGCAGTGGCTCTGTTTCGCTTGATTCATCTTCTTCATCTCCACTGGAAGATTGTCTTGCAAGATGTAATATCGGATCGTATTGATACGGTCTAACATCCATTTCAGAAATGACATCAGGAACTGCTTTTACTGCTTCAGAATCCATGGACACTGTTAAAGAACAACTAAACTTTGTTTTTTTGTACTCTTTTAACCATTACATATGAAAGATTTGTGGTTAGTCTTACGCGGAACACCAAATTCATTCTTA